CAAGCACTTTTCCTGATGAGTGCACCCCTAGCCTTTGGGAAAATACCTGGGAATGGAATTGCTGGATCATTTGGTGGTACTATTGTAGTTCTTCGAGGAACCTCCGTGTTGTTCTCCACAACAGCTGTACTAATTTACATTCCCACCAACAGTACAGGAGAGTAGGAGATGACTCTTTATTGAAAATTGTAGGTAGCCTGTACATCTCTAAACTTCAGTAGGTATTTGTCTAAATTTACTCTAAACAGAAGCCTGGGATCAAAAGGGAATGGGACAGCATATAGGTAATTTTTAGTGATAGGAGGACAGGGGAGTTCTGTAACCTGGGCCTCAATAATGGGAAGCTCTAAGTGGAAAACAGCAGTGTAAGCAGAAGGGTGATGGTAATAATAATGCCCAGCAATTGCCCAGCTGTCTGTGAGGCTCATTGTGTTACATAGTTTCTCTTTCCACTAACTCCATGCAGTGGAAAATGTTCTGATTCCCATTTTATAGACAAGGTCACTGATCTTAAGGGAGGTGATGAGCCCTGGGCTAGATGGCTAGGATGTGCCGGAGCAGTCATTCATGTCCAAGGGTTTGTTACACTAGAGTCCACATTAAATGGTCCAGTTCAAGGAAAAGCATTTAGGTGATGCAGCTTCGTTGACTGAGTCAGTGAGGCAGGAAACCACTCGGTGTGTTTACAAATATGTGCAGAAAGACAAAAACAAATGGTTTCCTCCTGCTGTATTCTCAATACAGAATACTTCTTGAAACAGATGTGAACGTTTCTTTCCCACACTGTACGATTCTCAGATACCAGCTAAATGTCCTGTGATTCAATTTAATTCTCACACTGTCATCCTGGAGATAGCGTCAGATCCCGTAGATTAAAGGTTCAGTCCTCCAATACTGCCCTCAACTTCAGGTGCTAGTCACCAAGTCTAGCCTCTGATACTTCTGACCCATTAACTATAAATTGGGTATTCCTACATCCCTCTGCTCGGTTCCATCGTTTTATAGAATGGCTCACACAACTCAAAGAAAACTTTATTATTATCAGTTTATTACGGAGGAAATTTTACAAGATGCAAATGATAGGAAAGAACCAGAGGAAGAGGGAAAGCCATGTGAGAAAAAGTGTGAAGCTCTCTGTCGTCTCCAGGCAAGTCACTCTCCAGACACCTCAGTGAGCTCAGCAACCCCAGAAGCTCTTTGAATCCCATAGTTCAGGACTTTTTATGGAGGCCTTGTTACATAGGCATGATATTTTAGAGAGGTTTTTGCTATAGGGCACATGTGCTCGCCAGCATGACAGAGATAGAGAGTCAGAAAGTGAGGAATCACCCCCAGGGAGATAGCCATGCCACAATCCCTTCTTTATTCTCCTCTCAGGATATTGAACATGCATGCACATGTGCCTGGTTTGAGTTTTAAGCTGCTGGGTACAGGATTTAAACTGCAGTTGACTATGCAGGAGTCCAGTGACATAACTGCTATGCCATCTGCTGGTCCTAAGCATGATACATTTTAACTGAATTTCCATCCCTGTTCTGCTCCCTGAAGGTTGAGAGGTGGGGGTGGCAGGGTTAGGGGAAGTGTGCTGAGAGTTCTTAGCATCTAATCCCAGTTTTGTCTTTCTGGTGACCAGCCTCTATTCGAGAATTGCCTTCTTAGGACAGAAGATTCTCCTAGCTCCCAGGAAATCCCAAGGGATTAGAAACTCTGTCAGGAATCAGAACCAAAAATCCAAAATGTAATCACAAACAACTTTTAGAATATTAACCAGATAGAGCAATACTTGTTTAAGAGGGTCCCTACCTTCTTGAATATTCTATCCCTTCCCCTCCAAAAAGATTTGGACCTGAGGATGGCAATTTGATTGGGTGTCCTCTTTCTTAACCTCTAGTCCTCTTACTCATGTGTATAGTATTTTTAACTTTCCAAAGTACTGGAATACACATACTTTGACATAGCATGTCATTATGTTTTCTCTACAGAAAAGGAGTGGTTGGCTGGGTACCATTGTAGATATACACTCCTTTTATCCCAAAGTCTTCATCTTCATGTCTGGGCAAACTGTACAGTTTTCTCCAGGGGATCCCCAGACAATGAACTCGCTTCTGTTCTTGGCATGTACATAATCCCACCGGAAAACATCTTTTGAAAATTTGGCTTTGCAAGCACTTAGCTGGTACTGCCTTTTGAACTTTGCAGATATATTCTTTAATTATGTTCTTTCTCAAGCAGCTTATAAGTTTAGTCTTTGTCAGGGGCAAAGATCAGCTTAGAATTATGTTGACTTACTGGTTTATTGATCTCAACCAAGAATTCTTTATTTGAAACTCTTCACTTAGGAAGTCAATTTGATAGCTTTCGCCCATTTATTTAGATGGTGTCAGTTACAAGTAGTCTTGCCAGTGAGTAATGGAGGAGTGAAAATTACTCATAAATTAATTAGAATGTATTTATAAACCCAGTGGAAAGCCAAGAATGAAGTTGCTTTTCTATTGATTATTATACTGGTCATTAACTGCTGAGAAAATGCCATTGTAGCAAGCAGAGACCATTGGCCAATTCCTCTGATAATTGTAGGATGCCATCATTAAGATTTCAGTATTCTAGAAAGTAATTACTCATTCACTCCATTTATTCACAGTGTGCGGGCAAATTGTTTGGGCATTTTGTGGCAAGACTAGGGATTCCAGCAGACATTAACTTCCATATAAGATTCTCCCTTGTCAGTCAGTGCTACTTTTAAGTTGTTTGTGGTCTGGGTATATATTTATACCAAGTATTCTTAGGTATTAATATGCCAGTTGTATGCAGATCTGTATCAGAGTGCTTCAGTATAGCGGTAGACAGACTTTCACCTCAGGTCTGTAACCCCAGAATTCTACACTGCAGCAGTGTTTTCTCAACACAGGAAGCCAGCCAGATTAGCAGACTGGCCATTACTTTTCAGTGAGATATGCCAGGTGGTTGTATTCCTTTCAAGAGTTAGGTGCCTGTCAGCAGTGCCCAAGATGAATAGGTAGTAATGGCAAATTCTTGGTAAAAAATTTTTGCCTGTCAGTTTCATAAATTAAGTGAAGGAATGCTGAGATGGCCTGTATTACAGGTAACTGATTTCTACTGTAAGACAGATACTAAGTGGAGTAGAACCCAGGCACCAAGTATACCACCCCACTGCCATCTCTCCCTGTAAGTGTAGAAGATCTCTGGTAAATCAAGGAAAGTGCTATGTGGCCCATCCCTGTCATGGAATGAGTTTTCCTGTGTCCAGGGCTCTTGGCCAATAAGAAATGGAGATTTCTATCAGCAGTCGAGGATAGTAGTGCTGATAATGCCTGACATTCTGGCATTGTAACTGACCAGTCATGGTCTTCTAGTGTTTTATAACTTGAATCAAAAGAGTGATAAGATGGTCTTGCACAGATCAACTGTATGACCTTAGTTTTAGCAAACTGCAGAGCTAGCACATCAGTAGACTCAGGATTCTTATTTGCATTTTTTTTCAAATAAGAAAACCAAGGTTCAGAGAGCATCTAGGTGGTTTTTATCAAGAGTACAGAGTTAGTACTGTATACTGGAAATTGCTCAAAGAGTAATTTCAAGTTCTCCTACCCCACCCCACCCCCCAAAATAGTAGCCATATGAAGATATGTTATTGTTTGTTTGCTTTTAAAATGGAGTCTTGCCATGTCACAGTCGTCTGCTTCAACCTCCCAGTTGGTACTATAAGCGCATACCACCTCACTGGGCTCTTTTTCAGACAGGCTCACATTTGCCCAGGGCAGCCTCAACTTCATGATCCTCCTGCCCCAATCCCTTCAAATTACTGGCATTATAGGCACGTACCACCACTGCTGGCCTTTCGGTTGAAACTGCGAATCAAACCCAGGCTTACCGTGTGGTCCCAGCCTGCAGATCACTGTGTCATAGAAGCATATGCTTCCATGGCTGGAGCCTAAGTATTCTTTCTGCCAAATCTTTTAGAAATATTAGAAAGGATTCTGATTACATAAAAATTAAATGTAAAAAAAAATAATCACTGAAACATCAGGACAAAGGAGGACAAATGCCTTAGTGTTATTTTCTAGTCTTTCACATAAAATGGAAAGGTGATACACAGGAGTTAAATACTGAAAACAGAAGCAGAAAATAATAAATGAAAGTTGTGAGCAGCCGTGCTGATCTGGAGCTTTCAATGGGTGATGGCAACTGTTGTTATTTTATCGAATAGAGTCCAGCAGATATAAATTGCTATGCTCTTTACTAGAATGTAAGTCTCTTGAGAACAAGAACTCTTGCGCTTTACTAGAATATAGGTCCCTTGAGAGCAGGAACCATGTTTGTCTTTGTAGCTATATAGCTTAAAGGTCAAGAAAGCCAGAGAAACTCCACTTGCCTGGAGTATGAGAGAAAAAAGAGGAAAAAAAGAAAAAAGACACTATTTTTCTTTTCTTTCTCCTTTGTCTACCAGCCTGGAGAATATAATTTATAGATTCTCAAGAGGTGTTCAGGTGTGTTCCTTTTTTCTTTATTTAGTTGTCTGTTTTGATGCCAAGATAAACTTTGATGACAACGCAGAATTCCGACAAAAGGACATATTTGCTATGGATGACAAATCAGAGAATGAGCCCATTGAAAATGAAGCTGCCAGATACGATCTAAAATACATAGGCCTGGACGGGAACATCGCCTGCTTTGGTAAGAAGCAGTTGTATCAGATGAATGCTTTACAGGTTTTTTACAGAACTTAGTAACCTCCAATTTCCAAAATGTTATTGGTCAACAGCAAATAAATATATGAGGGTTTTTTGTTTTTGTTTTTTTTATACCTAAAAAATCTTAGGAAACAATTCAAAGTTCTTCTCAAAGTTTATTTTGATTAGTGGTCAGTGGTTTAAAGCAGAGTATTTCACCGTTGACACTATTGAGACTTTTGGTAGGGTAAATCTTTGCTAGAGGGGCTATCTTTGGCATTATAAGATATTTAACAGCCTCCCTATCCTCTACCTGCTACTAACAACCCTCAGTTGTGAGTATGAAAACCAAAAAGTAAACATGTTTCCAGACATTTTCATATGTCTCTGATAGACAAAATTACCCCTGTCGAGGGATCAGCAGTTGCCCTAATGGCTGTGTCACTGGACTCCCATGTAGTCTACTGTGGTTCGAGTTCTGGACCCAGTGGCTTAAACGGATGCCAGGCATGTGTGCATGCATGCCTGAGATCCCAAGAGGAGAATGGAGGAGAAAGGATTGCAGCATGGCCATCACCCCTGGGGAGTGATTTCTCACTTTCTGTCTCTCTGTCTGTCTCTGTCTTTCTGGCAAGCGTATGCACCCTATAGCAAAAAAGCTCTCAAAAAAAAAAAAAATTACCCTGTCAAGAACCATAGATTTAAAGCATCTCTATCAAATGTTGTTTAGTGAAAATCAAAACCTTTTTTGCTCGAATCAGTGTTAATATGTTAATAACTACTCTGAAATTTAAATTTAAAACAAAATTGCTTTCAGAGGAAGAGGGCATATGCTTAAATCATGTTACTAAATTTTCAGGTGCTGTGATAACAAAATGGTAAAATGTGTCATCCATTTTACAAGTTTATTAATAAAATAATTGATATCACCATAATCTTCTAAATTTGTGCAAATGGCTTATTTAGCTGAGGTAAGAATGGAGTTACTGAGCAATGGCATCAGTGATACTGTCCATAGCTTATAGAGCTGAAATTTATATGCTTCTGACTTAATTGCACAAGACTGTTTCTAGTAGAACCAATTCATTGCACTGGAAACCAAGGTCTTAATCTTAATCAAATTAAAATAAAAAAGATTTGTAGCTCATTAAATTGAGCAGTATCATTATATTCAGAACTGAAGAGACCTTATCTAGTAGTTTGCTGTTCAGTGCAATAGAAAATGACATTTAATTACAAGTGATACCAAAAGCTCTTGCTTTGTATTGGAGCAATAACTGTGATATACCACAGCACTCTCATCATTCTAATTCTGATAAGCTAATATGCTCTCAATATTTGTAGGCATTTAGAAAGGGGAAAAATGTAACAGTGAGTTTAGAATAAATTAAATATACATTCTTTGTAGCATCTATAGGAATGTGCATGATTTGAACAAGGAGCAGTTACAAAACCTATCATTGATACATTTCAAATTATTTTCAGTTCCTGCATAGCCAGTTTTTTATTTTAGTTACCCCAGACTTACTTGAATTATACACAGGTCATAGCCTTGTCTGGGGAATTTAAGATTTAGAAAAAGTGAAGAGTACCTTGAGAGTTTCCACTACATGTAGGAAGATTGAGTATTTTTGTTTGTTTTTGCTTTCTAACCTAAGAAAGTAATTTCATGTAATTAAGCATTAAAAAAAGGCAATTGATCAATAAAATAAGAATTTGGCATTAAAACTTTTTACTTGGTTTGTTAAGAAAGATGCTTTAAAGTCCACCCTCTGTGGTATAGTCAGTATTGCACAGGATTATGGAGCTGGAAACCACATGCCATCTGCAGCTTGAGTCCGCCTACCTGTTGGCCTGAAATTACTCGTGCCCAGGATCGTGCTAGGCAGGAGGACTGGAGGAAGGTGATCACAGCATGATCAAGCCCTAAGAGAAGGAGAGTGATCCTGTTTCTCTCTCACACACATGCATATACTCTATCATGAATGAATAAAAACATAAAGCAAGGAAAATTTCTAAAATATTGACACTTTTTTTTTTTTTGAGAGATTTTCACTGTAGGGCGCGTGCACTCGCCAGACAGACAGAGAGAGACATAGAGACAGAAAGCGAGAAATCACCCCCCAGGGGGGATGGTCACGCCGCAATCCCTTCTCCTCCATTCTCCTCTCGGGATCTTGGGCACGCACGCACACGCGCCCGGCGTGAGTTTTAAGCCACCGGGTCCGGGACACGAACCGCAGTCGACTACGTGGGAATCCAGCGACATAGCCATTACGCTAACTGCTGGTTCCCAAATATTGACACATTTTGATTTTAATGATTGGGTTGCTAGTGAAAATTTCTCATATTAATTTAAAAGAGGAACAAAGGGATAGGAATATTGTTTTTAGTGCTGTCATTTGTTTTCTGAGTTTATCCAGATAACAATATAAACATGCACTAAGTGTAAAAAAGTGTAAACATGCACTAAGTGTAAAAAAGTATGAACTCAATTGAAGTTGGGATTCTCTGTGGTTCAGTCCCAGAGAGATGCCGCATTCAAAGAAGCATATTCTCAACAAGTAAAGAATTAAAAGACTTCTCCTTATTCAAGTCTTCTAGAGTATATTAAATATAATTCATTGGCCCTTAGCAACTTCTCATAGTCTTTTTCTCTCTTTCCTCATCCTGTTAAATTTGCGGATTCTAAAACCAAGAATTCTCTCCTACTAACTCACATTGGTTACTTAATCATTTCCCTTCTTTCTGTTCCCTAGACTGATTTAACTTGGCAGTAAATCCTTTTTTTGTTTGTCTTTTTTTTTGTATGTGCATTTTTTGATTTTTTTATATTTTTAAATCCTAAAAGTCTGTGAAATGAACTGGTTGAACAGAATTCAAACAGAAAGAAATTGGCCTGGTAATGACAGGGCTCTCTTTTGGAAATATGGGGGAGGGAAAAAAGTTTATGAAGCCTTACATGTTACTAAATTTATCTCGTATTATGTGCCATTTCCATTTCACAGTGAACGGTGCTGGGCTCGCCATGGCTACTTGTGACATCATTTTCCTCAATGGTGGGAAGCCAGCCAACTTCTTGGATCTTGGTGGTGGCGTAAAGGAATCTCAAGTATATCATGCATTCAAATTGCTCACAGCTGATCCTAAGGTAACTGCTCTCATCACAGGGAGATTGCATAATACTCAGCCTTCTCACCATCAAGAGCCACTTTGTCCCTGGTGCTAAGAGTTAATAAACTAAAGCATGAATTTTGCAGCTCGTTCTACCTTATATTCCATTGAAATACATAATGATTTTACTCCCATTTTGAGTGAAATACTTATAAATAGCTCCCAGGATCTGATTTTGGAGGCTACGTTTATAAAGTCCTGTGAAGTGGAAGGAAAGAAAAAAAATATAATGTGCCAAATACCCAAGTATCAGTTGACATGAAACATTATTTGGGTAACTTACACGGAAGTGATTAGTCCTATGCTTATGTGACTTAGAGAAAACTCAGTTTCAGAGTGCTTCCATAAAGATACTGAAGCTATTGTAATATTGTAAAACTATACAATTATAGGATCATACATCACAGAAATTATGACCTCCTTCCCTTCTGTATGCTCTTGTTTCCATCTCTGACCATTACTGTTTGCAGCATATGCACTAAATGGCACAGTTTCATGATTTCCATCGTTGCTTCATGTGTGCATCTTCTCTAAACTAAAATATAGCAAACTAGAATGTAGATATCACACGCATGTTAGGTGCATTCTGGGTATTTAATAAATACTTAATCAGTTTAATAGCCTAGTTATATAACAGTATGTTTTATTTTAATTGTAGGTACTCTGTGATAAAAAGATTTAGGTAGATTCTCACTCTCTCTTTCCTTTTTTTTTCAGTTTTAATTTGTTTGCTTATGTATTTTTTAAGTTTTGTTATAGGTTGACATAATAGTCAATAGTCCAGCTATTTTGCTGGACTCCCATGTAGCCGACTGTGGTTCAAGTCCCAGACCCAGTGGCTTAAACTCACGCTGGGCACATATGCATGCATGCCCAAGATCCCGAGAGGAGAATGGAGGAGAAGGGATTGTGGCGTAGCCATCCCCCTGGGGGGCGTGTTTTCTCCCTTTCAGTCTCTCTTTCTCTCTCTTCCTGGTGAGTGCATGTGCTCTATACCAAAAACCTCTCAAAACAAATTTTTTTTTTTTTTGTTATAGGCCATGTGCACTTGCCAGAGAAGGAGAAAGAGAGAGAGAGAGGGAGGAAAAGTGAGAAGTCATCCTCCAGGGAGAATGTCCCTTCTCCATTGTACCCTCTTGGAATTTTGGGCACTCACACACATATACCCAGCATGATTTTCAAGCCCTGGGTCCAGAGTTGAATTGCACATTCAGCAATGTGGGATTCAGTACCTTAAACTCCACACCATCTTGCTGGCCCAGGTGGATTTTCATTACAGGAAAAACAAAAATTTTTGAATATCTGATACACTTGCATCTTATTTAATTTTTGTAGTAGGCCTGTGAAGTAGGTTTATGCTATAGTCATTCAATATTCAATTTTTTTTTTTGAGAATCATTATATCACTATTGTTAGAGTACCTTAAATTTTTTATTGCTTACTGAAATACTGATATCTGCAGATGTGGGAAGTCTGCACTGTCACTAAGAAAATCATGAATGAAAATAATACCAGATTTTTCTTAGGGAAATGTGATCTGAAGTTAATATGGAAGCTTCCTATTAATAAGTACAAACAGTAGTGATAGCCTATTCCATCACATGTGTAAAATGTCTTATGTTAGTAATATATTTGTCTCTTTTCTTAAGATGTAGTTAGTCGATGACATTATCGTTTTACTCTTTTCTTCTAATTCACAAAATGAATGATAAGGTAGTATTAGCTATTTAGCTTCAGTTCTCATTACTATTTAGGAATAGTAAAGTTGTTAAAGTGCAAAATTACTCAACCATGGAAAATGTGTTTCCAAAATGAAAGATTTTTCTGTTTACATAAATAGCTTGTTTTCGGAAACCAGCAGTTAGCGTAATGGCTATGTCACTGGACTCCCACGTAGTCGACCGCGGGTTCGCGTCCTGGACCTGGTGGCTTAAAACTCGCGCCGGGCGCATGTGCGTGCATGCCCAAGATCCCGAGAGGAGAATGGAGGAGAAGGGATTGCGGCGTGACCATCCCCCCTGGGGGATGATTTCTTGCTTTCTGTCTCTATGTCTCTCTCTCTCTCTGTCTGGCGAGCTCATGCGCCCTATAGTGAAAACCTCTCCAAAAAAACCCCAAAAACCTTGTTTTCATTGGATAGTAAAAATATTATCAGTGGTTCTCTATTCATTTGTCAATTCACTTATCCCTTCTTCTCACTCCTCTCTAAAGGAAGAATGCTTTTCTTCCCAAATATTCCCAAACCAACTGAAGTTTACAAATATTATGGACATAACACACAGCTCTTTAAGCTTCTTGAACCACAAAATACTGAGAGAACAGCTGACTTTAATAAAATACCAAACTTTTAGTGTCTACTGAAATTTAGTCCTAAGAATAATAGAGAAACATCAAGGGATTAAATCTAGCAGGACAATCATTGGGTTTCTTTGAGTTATCTTTACTTAGTGGCTTATCTTGAATTTTAATTTCATAAGGTTAGAAGGGATGAAAACGCACAGAGCCATTTAAATACACACACACACACCTTGTGTGTATATATATGTGTGTGTGCATATAAAAGGTTTTCTATATATATATATATATATATATATATATATAAAATCTTTTTTAAAATGTTGACTTTACCCTATTGTATATTTTCACATGCTTAGATTAACTTTTTTGGAGATTGGCTGTCATCTTGGTTAGATAAAGGTATGTGGGAGTTATTTTATTTTTCTCACGCTATATCAGGAAAATGAATGCATAGCTCATTGCACAGTACATTTTCCAAATCTTGAAACTTTAAAATTGGTTAAAAAGCTTAGAAATATAATGGGTATTCTCAGTCCTGGCATTGTTTCTCACATTTCAGAAAACGGAGTCTAAAAACTAGTATACATGTGTTGATTTGATTTTGCAAGGGAATTGGTTATAGTTCTGACAATTATTATTTCACATAGAACCCTGTCCACCTGCCCAGAAGCAGAAGTTCCTGAGAACCCAAAGTCAATTATTTCCAAGATACCAATTTTCTTGTTAAATGTAAAGTAAGAACCAGTTGAGTACACTGAAACTCAAATTACTTTGATAATTTGTCATTGTTAAACTTAAATCAACTGGTACTAACAACTACATGTATACCATAATTCTGTTGATTGAGTAATAAATACAGCATCACTCCATAAAAATACTATGGACTGATACATATTTCTACTTGCAGTGTCCACCATACAACTAATTTTTATTTGGTCCTAACACAATTTTTCTTATAACCATGTTTCTTATATGTTTGTAATATATATGATATAGAATTCCTCTACCAAACCAACTAAGAGAAGAATCTTTCAAGATAACTAATAAACTGGATTCACATGAAGTATATCATTAAATATTTTATAATTCTCTTATTTTCCAGCTGAGTATGAAATGAGAGAAAGGTAATGGAGTTTGTTCTGCTAGTGGTAGAACAGATCTGATCAGATCTTCATCATTTTGATTTACAGAATTCTAAACACTAGCATTCTTTATATCATAGGCACTAAAGATGCTTCAAAATAGAAAACTGAAGTAGAGTTTCAAGGTAGTCTGTTAAGAATATGAGCACATTTAAAGGAAAAATACTATATAGAATTTTATCCTTGTTTTATTATTTTCTTAAATTATGCTTTGACTTCTGTAAACACACGTGTTGTCCTCTGGAGCCCTGACTTAGGAAAGCAATGGTCAGTGATTAGCATTAGCGAAGGTTACTGTTTGAGTTGGCTGTGCTTATATTTTCAAAACACTTTTTAAATGCACATGAAGAAATATGCTGTCTTAGCACAGGACTGGTGTAAAAACAGAAACATTTTTGTTTTATTTTTTAAATTTTTGCTATGGGACCTGTGCAGTCGCCAAAGAGAGAATACAAGAAATCACCCCCCAACCCCCACACCCCAGGGGATGGCCACACTGAAATAAATCCCTTTTCTTCTTTGGATTTGGGGCACACATGCACAAATGCCCAGACTGATTTTCAAGCTACTGGGTCCAAGGTTGGAACCATGAAGTTGGCTTTGAGTGATGTAGCCACCTTAGCCACCACACCAGTAGCTGGCTCAGATCACAAGTATTCTTAGGGACTCTGGTGCCAGCCTGCCTTCACTCCAACCTTGTCTTTACTACTTAATGGTTTGGGGATTTGGACATGTTCTTTAACTTCTGTGTGCCTAGGTTTCCTCATTTGTAAAATGGTGAAAATAACACAGTTTACCTCAGAGGGTTGTGTCATTTCATGAATTGAGACATATGTACTCTTGCATCCCATTTAGAAGAGCAATAATTTAATATGACAGTATCATTTAAAAATTGTGATAAACTTTTGTTAAAGTATAACCTACATTTAGAACATTACATATAAATTCTAAGAGCATAGCTTGATGAACTGTTACAAAGTGAACATACCAATGTAACTTTTAGCCAGATGAAGAAATACACCACGATTAGCATCACAAAAGTTCCCTTATGAACCATCATCCCTAGTCCTTTCCCCACCATGCTTTCTTCCCATAAGTAGCCACCGTACTGATTTTTTTAAGTTAATGTAAATAGAATCATATACTCTATCTGGTTTCAAAAAGCTCATGAAAAATACATATTATGAAAAACTTTGGATTTAAAAAACTTTTTGGAGACCAGCAGTTAGTGTAATGGCTATGTCGCTGGACTCCCACGTAGTCGACCACGTTTCATGTCCTGGACCCGGTAGCTTAAAAGTCACGCCGTGTGCATGTGCGTATGTGCCCAAGATCCCTAGAGGAGAATGGAGGAGAAGGGATTGCAGAGTGGTTATTCCCCCTGGGGGCGGTGAATTTTTACTTTCTGTCTCTCTGTCTCTGTCTGTCTGGTGAGTGCACGTGCCCTATAGTGGAAAATGTCTCAAAAAAAAAAAAAAAACTTTTTGCACCAAAATAAACTCATACTTTAATCCCATTTTTCCATGAAGTTTTTGAA